AGAGCTGTTTCTGTACAAGCTGTGCAATGCTCCCTTTCTCACATACATACGGCAAACGACTGCTGCAGCCCCTTTCTGCCATGCAGCGGATTTCTCTGCTGGGCTGCAGCCCCTGAGACAACGACTAGGTGGCCTTACTACAGGGCCTTACCTTCACTTTGGATTTTGTACAGATGCTCAAGTATTTCCTGATAGTATGGGTTCTCCCTTGGCCCAACCTGCAACACAGAGACCCCACAGTAATGACAAAGACAGGGGCCGAACGGAGACCGGACGGTGATGGCAGTGCCAGCAGGGAGGTACCGATTCCTGTGAGAGGCACCCTATCCCCATGACCCCTTCCTCCATCAGGGCTGCTCTGCCCTCTGGACTGCCCTCTCTCTCCCCTTCTCCCCCGGAGCATTTGCACCTTTGCCAGTCCCCAAAACTGTGCTTGACTCTGCTCACCCCAGTCCCACCCTCCCCCTGCTCCTACCGCTTCTCGCCCAGGGCTGATTTATGGGACTCACCTCCAGGAAGGCACCCAGTACGGCCAAGCCATCTGGGTGGACCATTGCCTCCTTAAAGCTGTCGTACTTGGTGTTGTAGTGGACCACATGGATCTGGAAGGGAAACATGCAATCCCGATGCAGGATGGGCACCTCTGGGAGGTGCTCTCCCCCACAGGGCTCCAGTCTGCTGGAGCAAAGGCCAGGAGAGACATGCACCCGTGACAAGCACCCCTCCTAGGAGGGGAATATCCTGGTGGGACCGAGAAAATGTGCTGCTGCAAAGCAGCAAGCATGAAGGTCTGCCCGGAGGAACTTCCCCGGTCAGGGACAGCAAACCAGCACTCTGCCCTAGATACCGGGGGGTCGTACACAAAGCCAGGCTCACTTTGAGGACAGCAGCTAGAGAAGGAGGGATAAAACCAGATGGGAGCTGGCAGAGCAGGAGGACAGTGTGTACAGAGTAAACAGTCCCTGCAGCTCCCAAAGCAGACTGCTCACAGCCACCCGGGGAGCTGGCTCCCCCAGCCCAGGGACCGCTGCAGCTCCTGCTCCATCAGCCGAGGACCAGGCAGCGTGGAGACAGGCTGCACCGCTCACACGCCACCCACCCCAGCCCACCTGCAGGCAGAGCGTCCTGGAGGGTGGTCTCCTCCTCGCCTCTGCACCGCAGGCTGCAGGTTGAGGCTGGCTCAGCACCAAAGCATGGCCTCCTACACCAAACTCTGCTGCTGCAGAGCTGCCTGGGGAGCAGAGATCCTGGCCAGGGGTTACAGCATTCATCCAGTGACAAACAGGGCCATGGGCTAGGAGCAAGACAGCACTCCAGTACCTCCCCTGTCCAGCACCGGCAGAGGAGAGGATACATCCACCGCCGCGAGGGCTCCTTACCTCCGCAGCAAAGTGGCGCCCGTTGACGGTGTGCTCTGAGCCAGGTCTCGACGGGGTGCCCCAGTGCAGGTGCAGCTGCACTGCTCGGTACTGCTGGGCATAGCCGCCAGTGATGGCCAGTGACTCAGGCAGCTCGAGGAGAACTGCAGAGGCAGAAGGAAGAGGTCGGTCAGTAAAACAGAGCCTAGTCCATCCCACAGGAACGCAGAGGAGATGTCTCAGGGGAAAGAGGCACCGTGGTCTTGTGGAAATTGGTCACAACAAAATTGCTTTCCATCTTTCATGAGGCTAAGGGCAAGTCAATACCCAGAGCTGTGCCAATGAGGCAGGGTTCAACTTCTGCCTTCGGGTTGTAGGACACCCCAGTAAATACATCAGCTTCGAAAACAGCTGCTATGAAAATGCTGGAAAGCGAAGAGCCCCTCTGCAGAGACTCCCAGGGGCCAGCTCCAAGCCAAATGTTATCCAACAATTTATTCAGTAAGTGAGAATAATATAAAGAGACCATGGGCAAAATTTCATGGAGAAAGATATTGGCCGAGTCGTGAATACCTATGAGAGCAGGACAGTTGGATAGAGAGAGCTGCAGCGCTTGGCGAGCCAGGACCTTTCAAATAAAGCAGCCTGTGAGTGTCTGACAGCACTGGAGCTGGTGGCATGGAAGCATTAAATCTTTTGAAAGCATTTAGAGCTGAAATTTTGCCTCTTTAGGTATGGTAAATACATACTTGGTTTTGCCTTTTACTTTAATCTCAAGGCAAAATGATAGCCAGCTATCTTGGAGTCATGCAGCAGCGTGGCAAATCTAAAAGCTGAGTTACCTGGACATGCAGCAAAAATATCAGGAGCATCCCTGGGCCCTGAGAGAGGCTATCCTATCCTTCTAAGCACCTTTTCCTCATTTTTAGTATCAACTCTTTTCCTTCCTCCTTCTTTATAGGTGAAGTGTCCCTTAGTCACATCACTGAGCTAGGGCAGATTCGGGATTAACGTAACAGGGCTGTGATGAGTCATTTGTCCTCTCCCGTGTTCCCTGCCACTGGGTTCAGAGATACAAAACTCAAATAAGGGAAGTGGGAGACTGCTCCCTCCCTGGGAATTTATCTGCTTTTACATTTCTTTTGTATATCTAAATCATCACATTCCTTCTACTAGCTACCTGAGTCATTTTCAGGCCCTTGAAAGACCTTATACAGCATATACACTTCATGTTACAAGAAGAAGTAACTTTATAAATATCTTACTGGACTTGCAACTTCTGATTTATTTATGGCTTTTCATAAAGCAGACCATAGTTGCCAGAATAAAAAAAAAGGCACCTTTATAAGCATGTGAGAAACTGCTTCCCCCCCCCCGACCCCAGTGAAAATGCTCTGACTGCTTTTCTAAACACCAAGCAACACCAGATGCCAGGGTGTCTAAAATAGCAACTACTGAGCTCAACTAGTTTAACTCTGCAGGCACGCTAGGGCAGGAGGCCATAATATAAAGCTCTGTGCATGCACCGGGCGGCTGATCTGACCATGCACAGCGAGTCTGACCTGTTGAATTTGCTGTATACACAGGTCAGCTCCATCTCACTAGCTACCAGGGCAAGGAGGTGCCTTATCACACCGTCAGCAAGTTTTTAAGTCCTTTTCTCCACCACTTTTCTTAGCTCGGGGACTGGCAGACACCAGTGTGCACAAAACACTCGGCTTGCTCCCAGCAAAAGCTGGTAGCAACCAGGACCCACCATCCTGGGGTGGTGAGCAGGAAGGAGATGTGTGTTTCCTCCATATCTAGCATGGTGAGACTAATACTTAAATAATGTGAATAAGTTGTGTCCAGACTTTCCAAAAAACGTTCTAAAATTGGAGAAGGGAAACAAAAGACTTAAAAAAATTTCTTAAGATCTTGAGAAAGCATCGTGAAGCACAGACTTAAAGAAGTTGGCCAGTCCTAGAAGACTGAGAGGTAGGTACCTTAAAAGCTAAGTCACCTCAGAGACTTACTAGTCCTTTGAAAGTGAAATGCAGGGGAGGAACCAGTGGCTGCAAACCTGCATCAGAAATACCAGGGACACATTTTTAAAGGAAATGTGGGTTTTAACAAATTCCTAGAGCCAGCTCCCAAAAGCAGTGAGTGGTGAGTTCTCCACCTCCTGGTTTCTCCCCTCCAGCCAGGAAACTACATGGACCTGTAAAGGCTCAACAGCCCGATGCTTCCCTTTTGGCCTTGAAGGCAACATGACTGCCGCCTGCAAGAGAAACCCCTTCCCAGAGCCCAGGGGAAGGGCGTCAGAGAAGCCCGGTCCTTCCGGGAGAGGCTGAGCGGACTCTGCTTGTGTCCCGGCCTCTGCCTGTGCCTTTGCACCCACCTGTGTGCCCGTTGTTTCTCAGCTTGAGCTTCTCGTTGGCAGGCAGGCTGTAGCCAGAGAGCTGGATCGGCCGCAGCTGGGGGCTGAAGATGGTCTTGGCCGTGTCGATGTTGATGGGTGATTGCATGGTGCCCATGCAGTCCGGGTAGTCCACACCCCAGTGCACCCGGTCTGGTACGAGGAGGAAGGGAGGGAGTGCCCGTGAGACGGACAAGGAGCTCGCCAGAAAGGAGGTTTGGCGGGTGGTGGGGAAGGGGACAGGCACTGGCCAGGGAATAAGCCATGCATGTAAGGTTAGCTTTCATCAAGTTAGCTTGGGAGCAGCTCTGTGCCACCATGTGACTGCATGTGGCTGTATCAGGAAAGGTCTCGGAGCATGGTGAGCTGCCAGGAAAGTCTATTTTTGGGGTGTTTGGGAAGAGCGCGAGAAGATCACTTATAAGTGGACTTGGCAAGCTGAGGAGATGCTGCTCTGCAGCTCATCACACGCTTGCTGCCTTGCACAGCCTGGCCTCTGGCAGGTATCGACCCACCACTTCGCCCGCACTGCTCCTCGAGCGAGGTACCACGGTGCCAACCGCTGGGATCACACAAGCCCACAGCGACAGGTCTGACGGGTTCCCGGCTGTTAACTGCACTGGTACAGCCCTGCAAAGGGCCAGCTCACATGGTTAGGGCGGCTGCTTAAACTGCCACCTCTCTCCAGTGCCATAGCTGGGATAAGCACGGCTGATGCCCCAGAAACCTCCCCTTGCACTGCAGCGCGCTGCTTCTAGTACATCTTGGGCAAACCCAGGCTTGTCCCCAGCCCCTCGCAGGACCCCCATAAAGATGGAGCTGGGCATTAGTAGGTCCAAGCCAGCCCCTGGTCCCGAGCAGAGTGATGGTGCTGGGGCCAGGCCCACCACCGCAGCGGGAAGAGGTACATTTGTGCTAGCACTGCAGTGATGCCCACCATGGGTGCTGTGGAGAAGCCCCCCAAGCCATGATGGGAAGGCAGGGCCAGGCAGGATGGGGAGGGAGGGTGACAGAGGACAGAGGTGAGGACACAAGCTAATCCCTGGGCAGGTCAAAGTCCCAGGACGGGCTGCAAGTCCAGCCTGGAGAGCCTAGCCTGCTTCCCTGCTTGGCACAGGATCAGGAGAGCTCCCGTTCAGGGAGAAGCCCTGCCCCAAGGGGCATCCCCCCACACCCAGGGGGCCGGGGAAACCCTCGGCAGAGCCGCTGCTTCCTGCTCAAATCAGAGCAACCCCCCCACTCTTCAGCCCATCCGTGCCCAGGTTTAGGCACCGCTGAAGCGTCAGGGTCAGGCAGGAGGGAAGGGTGAGCCGTGAAGTGCACACAGGAGCCCTGTAATCATTAACCACGGCTGGCTCAGGCCCAGGGTCTGCCGGGTGGTAGGAAAAAAGCAGGAGTAACTGCAGGGTATTTACCTTCATAGCTCCAGTGACTGTGGCCAGGACCTTGAAAAAAAGAGAAAAAAACCACATGAATGAAAGGGAAAGGTTGGCAGCAAACACACCTCTGCCAGACAGCGTTCCCAGCCCCGGCAGCAGGTCTCTGGGCTCCCATTGCCTTCAGTACCCCTCCCTGCCTTGGCTTTCCCACTCTCCCCCTGCCCCAGCGAGGAGGATGCTCCCAGAGGGCACTGCCTCCCCTGAGCCGGGCCAGGTCTTCTGCAGTTGTCGGCCAGAGGGAAAACCCCAGGGTTTGACGCTTTGTTATCACCTTTATAATGGAAAAATCAAGCAGCTTCCATCACTGAGCAGCTGTACCAGCACTCTTGCACCTACTCCAGAGCAGCCAAAACCTCCCAAGAAGTCCCAAGACAAAGCACTTAATGAGGCAAGCCTGCAGCTTCCCTGCTCAGGCTCTGTAAGCAAGAGCAGCCTGTCCTGGTGGCACTCCTGCAATGCTGAAACACTGGAGGGGGTGTGGGGAAGGGCAGCTCCCACACCACAAGGAGTTCGGGCGGCGAGCTGCATTGCACAGTGCAGACACCCTCCTCCCACCAGGGAAAGCAGCCCTGGGGCTCACAGCAGAGGAAGCAACCAAGCACCAAAACTTTGTCTACCTCATCAGCGAGCACCCCTACAATGGGGGCAGACTGCCACAGGAAAAAGTGCCAGACCAAACACGCAGCTTCCGTCCCAGCAGCCCCCCGGCAACCCTTGCCCCAACTCACCCGACCACCCAAATTCCCATGCAGAGCTGCAGAAGGGTCCTACCATGCACAAACCCTTTCCCTAGGAAAAGCAGGAGGGAGGATGGGGAAGTCCATGCTGGGACCTCTGCATGACCCGTGTCACCCATGGGGCACACAGGCAGGGCAGGATGTGCCCTGGTGTGCCCTGAGCCTCCTATGGCCAGGGGTGTCCCCGGAGCACAGATCCAGAGGGAGCAAAGCCCTCCTGGGGCAGGTCCTGAGGGTAAGACGGTGCTCCACACACCAGCCCTCGCACCACCACCCTCCTCCAGAGCTGCCAGCAAAGCCCAGGCTACTGGCATGTCACTGGAGCTGGCCTTAGAGGTGCCCTCAGAGGCCCCCGACCAAACACCTTGGCTATCACCAGCCCTTCTGCGTATAAGCAGCTCCAGGCAAAGGGATGCAGGGCTTGGATTTGCCCCAAGCAGAGAAATGTGGCCCATGAGGATTATGCCCCCTCCCTCACTGGCACGACAGGTAATTGACGGGTTCCTCCTCTGACTTGTCCTTACCCTGCATGCTCGTCATTGCAGACAGGCTGTTGGCACATCCCAGCCCACAAGGGCAGAAGTGGAGGGTGCCAGGTTGGGACAGGCTTGGGGCAAAGGGATTCATGCACCCAGCAGCAAGAGGCAGCATCTACACCCACTTCCATCAGCTCCCTGGGGTGCAAGGACATGGAGGAGCATTGTCCCTTGGTGGGGCCAAACACCTGCCAGCCTGGCCAGGATGCAGAAGGGGCTCCGGTCCCCATCCATGCCGCTGACAACAGCTATCGACAGCCACTTGCTATTAATAGGAGTGGATTCCAGCTCAGGGGTGAGAAAGGAGGAGGCACACTTTCCCAGGCCCAGATGTCCTATTCAAGGCCTCAAGCCCAGCGGGATCCTGTCCCGCTCTCAGCAAGGATCCAGGCATGGGCACTGCTGGGGGTCTTCAGTGCAGCTGCCACCCTGGAGAGCGGATGGTCACGGCAAAATCAGGCTGGGAAGGGCTAGAGGGTGCTTAGGGGCAGTTGCAGAGATGGGAACAGCCCTCAGGGCTCCCTCCAGCATCGCCAGTGACTCATCTCTGCAGTGCTTCTGACACTCAGGCGTCACCTCGGGGTATTCCCGAAGGCATATGAAGAAGGGGCAGCAAGCAGAGGGCTGGGCAAGCCACAGCTGCCTGTGTCAGGCAGGAACACGTGCGCTCCGGGACAGGCTGCAGTGCGCTCTCTATGCCTGCTTGGATGGCACTGCCCTGGGATGCACCCAGCTGTGCTGCAGCAAGCTGAGATTCACCCTGCCCATCTTGCTCACACAAAGGTTACCTCGTCCCCGGACACTGATTATGCACCAAAATCCAGAGTACGTCGACGCTCCTCTGGAAACAGCCCATATCTTCCCCCACCCTGTCCCCACTCTACCTGGCACTATCTGCACGAGGTGGTCATGGCTTCCACGCACGAGGGTGCCTATCAGCATGGGGAGCCCCCCCGAGGGGCACTCGCATTGGGGCAGTCCTGGCACAGGTAAGCCACAGCAGCCTGGGGTTGGCACGCGGTGCCTTGGCTCGCCGCACATGCCTCAACCAGCACGGCCCGCCCCGGCACCCCGCTTTCCGCCCATCTCCAGGGACTCTGCGTCGACAGAAAGCAACTCAGACATATCGTAGATTGAGTAATAGCACCGTGCTGGCACCTGCCCTGCTGTGTCAGCACCATGCCACCCACCCCAGGCTCCCACGTCCGCCCGCGCCTGTCTGTTTCCACAGCCAAGGGGGCTCCGTACCCTCCTCGCAGCCGCCCGCCGGCTCAGCTCAGCAGCTCCCCGAAGGCTGCAGCTGCACCCAGGAGTCAGTCTGATCCATCCCAACAGAACAGACTTCCCCAGGGGTCTCTTGGCATCAGAGCCATGAGGACCCATGAGCACTTACCCGTATATACGGGCAAGCCACCTGAGTGCGTTTCCCCATCCCGTGGATCTGGGCGCAGCTATGGCACAGCCAGGCCACCCACTTCAGGAGGCATCTCGCAAGCCCAGCTCTTCAGGGTTGGGCCCCCTTGGCACATGCACCGAGCGCTGCACAAGAGCTTCGAGGCGAGCCCAGCCCCGGCGCTGGGTCAGGCTCTCGGCATCTGCCCCAGCCTCAGCGCAGCTTGGAGGAGCCCTGCAATACTCCGGTCCCTTCCACGTGGGGGCATTCGCAATCTCGCAACCCTTTGCCATGAACATTAACCCACTGCCCTACCCAAATGTCGATTTGCATAATTTCAGCCTGCCTCCCACGCTCACCGCTGGAGCACGTCTTCTCCCTCGGAAAGCTGCGTGGTGCCAGGTCTCCTTTCTGCTGAACTGCTGCCACTCACCACAACAGATGCGGCTGTACCTCGGCAGTGGGTGCTGCAGCTCTTTGCACGCCCTGCCCTACCTCTGAGCACCCACATCTCCAGCAGGGACTGCAAAGCACTCCCAAAAATGTGGGGAGAAACAACCTTGCTGCTGCAATGAACACAATGGGAGATAACATGCAAGAAGAGGACTCCTGCAAGGAGTTTCCTCCAGCAGGAAAATGTAGTAGGGTACCAACAGGCAAGAAAGCCTCTGTGCTCAGCCATGCAGAGCCCCTCCGCTCCAGCTGAGCACAAAACACCACCCACTTTCTCCCAGCAGCTTGCGATCCAGCAGAGCTTCCCCCCTTTCACTCTCTCCCTCCTTTGTGCTTTCTCCCTCTGTTGCTTGCTCCCTCTCGGCCCTCCCATTTTGGGATATTGGCGCTGCCGCAAGCGCCAGCTCCCTTCCCTCCTTGACATCCAACACCATCCAACAACACTTTCCTGCCGAGTTCAAGCAGACACTGCCATTACCAGCGTGCTGCTCGGCATGTCCTGCAGCCTGGGAGGAAGGGTAGGAGCAGCTTTCGGCAGGGTGAGGAGCCAGCACAACCGTGGGCCGCTGCTAATCCCACATAGGAAAGGCACCGATGTAGCAGGCTGCTCCCAAGAGACCTCACCAAGGGGACATAGGGATGGACTCGAGGGACTCAGGATCATTTGCACAGAGCAAGAGGCACCCCTCGGCAGAGCCAAGCAATAAGGAGGGAGACCAGAGGGCCTGCCCTATAGGTCTGCCCTATACGTCCATCCTCAGCTTTTCACATTTTAAGGGGTACACAACCTGAAGCTGCTGCAGGGCACCTGACAACACTGAAACGCGTGTGCCGTTCACAGCGTGGATGCTGCCTGGCAGCATTGTGGCCATCGGTACTGCCTGCTCGCCTTGAACTCCAGCAAAAGTTTGATGGCCTGTGTGTGGTGGGCAGGGCAGCAGGCTCGCTTCTAGCTCGGACATCCTGCTCTGTTATCGGCTGGGCACACGATGCCCTGCGCTCAGCCACAGGGAGCACTGGGATCCTGCCAGAGCCTCCTCTCCCCGCTGGGACCCAGCCCTGGGCCAGACCCAGGTCAAAGCCCTGTGGGATGAGGGCAGTTCGCAGGGGATGCCAGGGCAGGGCCACCTCGCTGTGCCCCCAAGGAAGAAGCCCCTGTCTGCAGATCCGTCCCAGGCTGTGTGGGGACCAGTGGAGTTCATGGCCCAGAGAAGACGGAAAGCGGAGTGTTATTCCTGATGTTCAGTGAGCCAGAAGGTATCAGGACATGCAGAGATGCACAGAGTACAGGTCCCAAAGCAGGGACCAGCCACCAGCAGCCAGGTCCCAGCCTACAAAACACACAAAAGCACCATGTCCCTGAAAGCAATAACTTGATCACAGTACTCAGGTTGTGCCACTGTGCTCATGCTGCCCACAGCCAGCTCCCCAGGCCAGTCTGTGGCAAGCATGGCACAGCCACAGGGTCTGGGTAATGGGGTGCACAACCCAAGCAACTTTCTGCCAAGCGCCACGAGGAGCGTCTCCATGGCAGGGCTGTGCCATCCCAGCCCTACCACCACCAGCACAGCCCTGGTTTCTCCATCCAGACACACACCCTGTGCAGCACCCATGTCCTTTCAGCCCAGGACACCACCCCGTGCACTGCCCATGGGGACACTGATCCCTCCCAAGCCTGGCTGCATTAAAGCCCCTTTGTGTTTATAAACTCAGACCCACTGCAAGCCTTTGGGATCAACCTTTAATCTGCCACTGGTAGCACAGGTTGCCACAGGGATTGTTCTTTGTGCTCCTGCTCAGGCTGCGGGGCCCAATACTGAGCCAGCTCCCCCCCATAGGGGCAAGGGTTTGGGTAGAAGAAGGCATAGGGCAGGCTTTACTCC